ACAGGGAGAAGAAAGAGGATTTGTTCACATCTGGATGAATGCATTTATGTGGGTTCACTTATGTGCAGTCAGGATCCTCTTGTCACAGAGAAAATAGATGCAAGTCTGTGCTCAGGGTCCATTCCTGCCCCAGGAGGGAATTGAAACAACCTCGCTAGCTACTTCATTTGGCATAGACCATTAGGATGCCCCCAGCGATTTTCAAGGCTCATTCTCCTTCTCCATCTTCTTGCAAAAGGATCAGTCCCCCACAGGAGAATTGGGGCTGATGCCTCTGGGCTTGTTTTCTTCCACCTTTTGAGAAAATTTCTAATCATCTGCTGCCCTAAGGGAGCCTGGCTGAGCTCATTTCTGATGAGGCTCCACTTGAAGGCTCTGTAAGCTCAGCCTTTCAGGGAGGTGGTAGGCTCAGGTGGCCACCTCGCTCAGGCCTGTCTGTCCAGATCAAGCTTCCAGTCATTCCTTTACACAGGCCTTCTTACCAGGCTACAGCCATGATGGGGACATGGGTGAGAGTCACAGTCTATGGCTTAAAATTAAGAACTTGCAGAAGGTGGGTAACCACTGCAAAGCACTCCAGTGTTTTAAAGTAGGAATGTGTATAAGGCCATGCCCAGGAAGCCCACGCTGGGTGGAGAGAGAGAAGCCCAGGGCCAGGAGACACCTAAGAGAGGCAGGGGTGACATTAGATGCCAGCTGTGAAAGCCAAGCAGGCTGTCAGGTGGGCACAGAGCTGTGGTGTGAGAACAGGCCTAAAGGCAGAAAGGATGAAGCACTAGGCTCTTCCCCAGCTGGGGCCTAGGGTGTGGGCACAAGAGTGGCAGGACTAATGCCAGGAGGTGGGCAGGGGCCAGTCAGGAAGGGCTTTGACCACTGTGCTCAGGGGCTCACGATTTATCCTAAAAGCAACAGGGAGTCAAGGACCAATTTCAGTCACCAGAGCCACAAGAGCAGCGTCTGCTCCCCCAGAGCAGTTCTGTTCCCAAGGAGGGCCCGTGTGCCTCTGTTCACGCTGGAGAACAGAGGTGAGTGTGGTTTTTTGGAGGGGACATGCTGGACATCAGGATAGGTCTGGCCAGCCTTTGTTTTAGGGACTCATTAGTTTAATTGTTAGAGGTGAAAGGTGACCATCTGTATTTCTGTTGGTTTTCTGTATTTCTGTCGATTTTCACCACCCAGGGGCTGGTCTGAGTTTCTCCCGTGCTGTATCTGACGGTATCCTTGGTATCTGACTGGGCCTGACTTGGGGAAATAGCACCCTCTAGGGGAAAAATGCATTTCAGGTGGGGTAGCAATGAATAGTTTCTAGGGCTTGGAACTGCTTCCTTCCCAGGCTCCCTTTGCCCCCCACCGCCAGCTTGGGGGTGGAATGTAGTGAATTGTTTATCCGCTTCTGACTCTGACCACCAAGGAGAACAAAGCTGCCTGGCTGTGGGAGGTGGCAAACAGCTGGGGGCCGCAGATAACAGCTGGAGGATAATGGCTGGCAGCAGCAGGCGTACAGCTGGAGGCGGCTATCACAACAAAGAGTTTTAGCCAGTGGCCAAAATCTCCAGTGCTCCTGGGTTCCAGAAACTCCAGGCTCTGTCTTCTCTGTCCCAGCTATGACTCTCCCCAGGGCACCATAGAGGCACCTCCTGGGCCCATGACAATGAGCCTGGGAGACAGAAGCATTTCTTACCAGTATAAGTCTCAGATCAAGAGTCAGCAGATCTGGGTTCTGGCTCAGTGCTGCCACCAACATAATTGGGGAGACTTTCTCCAAACTTCAGTTTCTAAAGGTGTCTTTCCTTCTTAGCTCATGGTGTGAGGGCCACATGACATATTTGACCAACGGGGTATATAAACATAACCTATTATTCTGGGAATAAACAAGGCTTCTCTGAGACCACAGAGCCCCAGAGCTGAAGGCTATCACCTCAGCACGGAGCTAGGCATTGAGGTGCACCCCCAGATCAAGTGTGGGCAGTGGAGGCGGGGAGGAGGAGGAGGAGACAGGCATCTTGATCGGCCATGAGTGTAGGGGACACCTAGAGACTATCTCTCAACCTTCCATCCAAAGCTTTAACCCCCTCTGCAGTGTCTCTGCAAGGTGCTCATCCAACGTGTCCTCAAACACCACCAGGGACGGGCACCCTGCACCTTTTGCGGCCTGTCCCGACTGTGATGATGTCACATCAGCCTGGCATCTTTTCCCTTGTGGTTTGAACTCACTGGTCTGGTGTTCTTGACGCTCAAAGAACCAGTCCAACTCCTTGTTCAAATGACAGCTCTTCAGACTAAATACTTGCATGTGGAGATATAGATCTCCAGACGAACCTCTCCACCTCCTTCAGTCACACTGTGTGTGACGTGGTTCTGAGCCCTCTCAGATCGGACTGTTCCTGGGACACAATGCTGTGGATGCAGGATGAGCACAGCAGACCATCCTCTTTCCTCTTCTAGATAGTTTCCTTCACCTAAAGTTGAAGATGGTGTTGTTTCTCAGGCAACCAAAGCACAGAGACTATTTTCTGCTAAAGGGTTAAATCTATCTTCATTATTCTGCTAGTGAAATCATGTCTTGCCAGCCCAGGACCTTCTCAGGTGACTTTTAGACCCAAATCTGTAACCCAGCATATATCCTCTTGTTAATTTGGCACCGTCACTGACCTCTTTTTAGATCCCAATTCTGCTCCACACCTTGTATTCGCAATCTGTCCCAACTTTGTGCCATCCACACGATAGCCATGTGTTGTAGAGTTTTGAATAAAAATAGTGAGGAGAACATCTAATAGGGCAAGGCCAAAGATAAAGGTTTTGATTTTAAGATTTATTTATTTATGCATACAGAACTGAGGTACAAGCCAGAGTTGCAGGGGGTGAGAGGATTCACCAGAGACAGAGCAGGGAGAAGAACAGACTGCCTGATGAAGTACACTGCTGAGGGGAGCAGCGGGAGGGTCAAGAAAGGTCTGCACCATGTGGGTCACCTCTGGGACAGACGGGGATCAAACTCATGTGGAAGTGGCTTCAGCCTCTCAGTGCTGTGCTTTAACCTACTGCACAACCAGGGAGGACCTGATAAAGTTTTTTTTTAAATACATCACTAGAAAGCAGAATGCAGGCTACCAGGAGCCACTCACGAGAACCACTGATTTACTGTGACTTACCTAACTAGATTCATGCTGTTCATTTTTCTCTACTTTATCCCCAAGGACATAATAAGAGAACATCTCAAAAATCTTGCTTACACCATCTATTGCATTTTCCTGATTTGCCCCTTTAGTAACCTTGTTATATAGAAGGAAATTGGATGAATTTCATGTGACTCCTTCTTAGAGACTCACCCTGCCCCAGTGCTCAGTCTTAAAGTTTCCCCCTCAAATCTTCTTAGGATCAAGAGCTAGTCTGTCTGCAGACTTCATTTTCTTTTTGAAAATTAAAACCATGTTGATTCACCCACAGCTTCCTAGCACTCCCAAGTCCTCTCAGTGCCCCTCAAAACCTCTTACAGGGGTTCACATCTTTTCTAAAGTTTGAAGAGTAAACGAGTAAGCCTTGTAGACTTTGAAGGGCCTGTGCACGCAGGCGTCATGACGATTGGCAACTGATGCCTACTGCGTACTGAATGCAACTTTACTTGGGCTCCCAGTACAGATTCAACTTCCAGAGCTTCCCTTTTGCTCAAAGTAGCCAAGCAGACTAGAATGTAGGAAGCATCTGGTCTGGACAAAAATTCCAAGTGGGCAGGGTCTGGTAAAACGGCTCCTCGTTGGACCATTCTGGATTCTCGTTTAGTGCCTACTAGGGTGGATATATGAAGGAAGCCACATAACTTAGAGCCTTCCAGGAGTAGGGTCACGGGGAAGACAGGGGTGGGGGGTTGTCGAGAGTAAGAGAAGTCAGTGGTTCACACTTCCTGGAGGGGAGAAAGTGAAGAGGCTCTCTGTTCTCCAGGAAGGGCCAAACTCCACAGCAAATACCCTGCTCCTTCCCAGAACACTGGCCATCAGATCCAGAGTCCAAGGACGCAAGTGATTGAGATTCTTTCTCTTCTGGAAAAGTACAAGTTACCCCTAAGACAGGGGGGCCGGGCGCCTTGTATTAAGCGAGCTGTCTCCTATTTCAGTGCCTTGTCCCACTTTCTGCTATCAGGACAAATAGCAATCCTGAATCTGAGCTGGTGCCGACAGAGCGACTAATCCACACTCCTCTCCTACTTCACTTGGTTTGAGATAGCTTTGCCACCTACCATCTGGTGCTCTCCCAGACCTCGGGAAAATGCCCCAACGCTGCCAGGAAGCTTAGCATGTTGTTTCTCCTCTGTCATTGCTGGTTTCTCCTTGCTCAGGTCCCAACACCACCCCAGCCCCTGCCCAGACGGAATTTCCCCCATGATGCAGATCCGGTGGAGTGTTTAGAGACCGTCTTGGTGGGTAGGAGAACGTGTCGTTTCTGCTGTTTTCTGAGTTAGGTGACGACTTTGGTGTTAACAGTGAAGCCTGACAGCGCGAGGGGAGAGAGTGGAGACAGTGAGGGTTTGCGTGTGTCAAGGGAGGCTGGGGAAGGATTTCAGCAGCATAGACTTTCTTGCAGATGCTGTCCCAAAGGAGGGGGAGGGGCCCTACTGCAGAACTAGAGTGCTTTACAGAACTGGTTCTGTAGTGACTGGAGACCAGTCGAGCCCCCTTCCTTCAACCCACCTCCCAGGAACTGTGAACATCACTCTCTCCTCTCGGCCTCTTCTAAGAGTTACCAACAGCAAACTGGGTTGTAATTCTTGGCTGATGGCACATGTGTCTTTCCCACATGCCTGAGTCCTTGAAGAGCAGCAGGGTCATTTTCATCTTTGCTCACGAGCTTCTTGCACAGTGCTTGGGCACACAGCAAGCGCTCAATGAGTATTTGCTAGTAAGGGAAGAAAAAAGCGTCACCCAGAGGACCATGCCTCTTCCTTCCTACTGGGCGGTGGCTGGGAGCTGGCTCAGTAACCTCAGCGTGCTGTCTTGCCCCCCTAGATGACATCGGTCGCCAAGGTGTACTATAGCCAGACGACTCAGACAGAAAGCCGGCCCCTGGTGGGCCCGGGCCTGCCGCGGCGGCGAGTGCTGACCAAAGACGGCCGCAGCAACGTGAGGATGGAGCACATTGCCGACAAGCGCTTCCTGTACCTCAAGGACCTGTGGACGACCTTCATCGACATGCAGTGGCGCTACAAGCTTCTGCTCTTCTCTGCCACCTTTGCAGGCACCTGGTTCCTCTTCGGCGTGGTGTGGTACCTGGTGGCTGTGGCGCACGGGGACCTGCTGGAGCTGGGCCCCCCGGCCAATCACACGCCCTGTGTGGTGCAGGTGCACACGCTCACCGGGGCCTTCCTCTTCTCCCTCGAGTCCCAGACCACCATTGGTTACGGCTTCCGTTACATCAGCGAGGAGTGCCCCCTGGCCATTGTGCTTCTAATCGCCCAGCTGGTGCTCACCACCATCCTGGAGATCTTCATCACGGGCACCTTCCTGGCCAAGATTGCCCGGCCCAAGAAGCGGGCGGAGACCATCCGCTTCAGCCAGCATGCGGTGGTGGCCGCCCACAACGGGAAGCCCTGCCTGATGATCCGAGTGGCCAACATGCGCAAGAGCCTCCTCATTGGCTGCCAGGTGACGGGCAAGCTGCTTCAGACCCACCAGACCAAGGAAGGCGAGAACATCCGGCTCAACCAGGTCAATGTGGCCTTCCAAGTGGACACGGCCTCTGACAGTCCCTTCCTCATCCTACCTCTCACCTTCTACCACGTGGTGGATGACACCAGTCCCTTGAAAGATCTTCCCCTCCGCAGCGGGGAGGGGGACTTCGAGCTGGTGCTGATCCTAAGCGGGACAGTGGAATCCACCAGTGCCACCTGCCAGGTGCGCACTTCCTACCTGCCGGAAGAGATCCTTTGGGGCTACGAGTTCACGCCCGCCATCTCACTGTCGGCCAGTGGCAAGTACATAGCTGACTTTAGCCTTTTTGACCAGGTTGTGAAGGTGGCCCCTCCAAGTGGCCTCCGTGACAGCACCGTACGCTATGGAGACCCTGAAAAGCTCAAGTTGGAGGAGTCACTGAGGGAGCAAGCGGAGAAGGAGGGCAGTGCCCTTAGCGTGCGTATCAGCAACGTCTGACGCTGGGTTCCCCACCTCCCGTCCCTCTGGGCTCTTGCTTTTGGCCCCCTGGGTGGGGGACGCCACCCAGGCTCACTGGAGGGCCCCAGAAGCACCTTCTCCACTCCCTCTCCCTTACCCAGTGGCCAGCAGGTAGTCGAGGCCAATTGGAATCCAAGTTCCCTCCCCCTGTACCCTTTCACCACTTCCACCCCATATACACACACCTCCCTTAGGCCAGGATGGGGGAAGAGAGGGAAGATTAGGCTGCAGTGGCCCACCAGGCCTCAGCCATGCTTGGAGACGTACATTAGGAGGACCACGCCGTTGGACAGATAGCCTCCCCCCACTGCCCGCGACTGCCAGGAAGTTCCGTGACTTGAAGCTGGAGCCCCCCGTCTCTAACTCCCCAGCTAGCAAGTTCTCTAAGGCGAGACCCTCTCTGGTGGGCCCCTTGAGGTCTGTGCCCTCAGAAATATAGGAATCTGGAATCAAGTAATCCAATTTATCCTACCAGTCCTTGGTGATAGCAGTTTTTCCTGGTGTCGCTTGTTTTTGTCGGCATCAGGAACCTGGGGCTGTGACCTAAGACCAGGGTCAGCAGGATTGTCCTTTTCTGCATTCCCAAGTGGACCCTCTCCTGGGACATTCACTCTGGGGGCACTCCTGGAAATAAAAATCACAGCCCCACACAGCACCCTTCCTGGGCTCCGAACTCTGCCGTGGAGAGTGATGCCCCATGCCCTGCCTGTCTTCCAGGCAGCCCTGGGAGGCTTGGTTTCCCGTGTCCTGGGAATGGGAGTGACCCTTGTGAGTATGTTCCCCTGAAGCAGTTCAGTGCCCCGGCCCATGGAAAGATCTGAAACTGATGCTCCACTGTGCTTAGTTTCTCTCCTCCGTTCCTGCCCAACCCCAGCCCTCTCTTCCCTTAACTCCAACCCTTTGCAAGGATCTCCCTCCCTTAACACTGAGGCACAACTAAGATGAGACTCACAGGCAGGGCACGGATTCACCAGGACAAGTGTGCATGCCCCACCGAGTGGGATGAGTGGATTTTCGGATTCCCAGACTGCGTTCCAGAGCCTCTGGGAATCAGGGCTGCTTTGTTCAGGTTTGGGCAGACAGAGCTCTGGCTGGCAGACACTAATCTCCCTGCTGCTCCTCCCAGCACCTCCGCATTGTGCCAAGCCGCTGCATCGGGCAATGATGGGAGGAATGGGACCCCCCGATCCATGGCTAGTGTCCCTCAGCAGCTCCTGACACAGGGATAAATGACTGTCAGCCTCATGCTCCTCTTCTGCCATTTCAGGCAAGTTAGAAGGCGCCATTTAGGATTCGACTTGAGTTGTTTCTTGCTCCCTGGAGAGACTATCATAGGGAAAGGAAGGGCATACAGGCACTAGAACTTTCTCTAAAGCCCTAAATCGCAACAGAGATTTTTCGTCTCATCTAGTCACCAGGGAGCTCCTGGCATCCCTCAAAATCACATAGAGTGGTATGAATCCCGTGGCAGTTTATTGAGGGGGACTGGGTCACCTGTTAGAAGTTCCACACTTGGAATATGCACACATGTCTGTGTGCAGGGCCTTGCAGAGAAACTGACAGGAGTAGGGGTCTGGACCCAAGGTCACCCCTTACGACGGCTGCACAAGCTCCTTGAGCTCAACTCACTGCACCTTGAAAATGAAGACGCTTCATTCTCCGCTTCTTGTAACCCCCATCATTACTCCATGGCTCTCAAGAAAACCGGAACCAGAAACACTTTGAAAACCCAAAATAGAACAGAGGGCAGAGCCAGACCCTGGGCCCTCCATTGGTTCCACGTTACACTTTCTTGATTTCTTCCCATGCGTGAGGGCAAAGGTACTGTGGAGTGTGTTTATGTGTATGCGATGTGTCTTATCTATCCAGTTTCTCTGCACACAGGGGCGCCCCTCCCAAGGAGTCACTCCCCTCCGGCCCTCTGCTGTCTATTCTCAGCCCCCAGACTCAGACTGTTGGATAACAGAATGAGAATATTTTCTGACTTATCCTTTCGATTTTCCTCCAGAACCCCAGACTTCGCTCTAAATTGCACTTTAAATCACACAGTCTTTTAAATATTCTCCCAGGAGCCCTCCCCGAGGACAATGCCCCCCACCCTCAACCCTACGGGCTCTTCAGCCTACGGCCCCATCTCCTCTGAGCAATCAGATGAGCATGAGAAGCAGCTGGGTCTGAGGAGCAGCGGACACCTGGCCACAACCAAGATACAGAATGCCAGGAGGGCACTGGGCACAGGGGCAGGGGGCACTTCAGATGAGGGCAGAACAACCGAGGGGGAGGATACTCAGGGTGTGACGACGAGACAGGCCGTGCTGAAGGACTGGGTGGAACTGATGAAAGCCTGGGTGTTTCTTGGGTTGGCAGACAAGAGGTAGGTGGTGGCTCGGGGATTTGGATGTGATACAGATGAATTGTTTTATCTAAGGAGGAGAAAGAAACAGAGATAATATATATGTACGTGTAGATATATCTATAATGTATATAACCAAACATATTGACTGTACAGTGGAAGAAGTCTGAGACCCCAGCAACGGAGGCAGGTGTTTCGGTCTGGTTCTAAGGTTGGACTCGCCAGACTCTCAGCCATGCAGCCAGTGGTCCTGGGCCCACTGTGGGTGTGAGAGGCCTGAGCAAGACCTCCAGGTTTGATGATGGGAAGGGTGTGGTGGTGGTGGAAGCTGCTTTTCAGAAATAAAGAGGCATTCACGAGGCTTCTGCCAACAGACAAGGAAGCAGGGAGACTGGAGAGATGTGAGAGGGGAGAAACGCCACCCACAAGTGCTAGAACCTCTAGAACCTTATTCTCCTGCTCCCGTCCCCAGCAGTGTCCTGTCACTATAGCACTTTTTGTTTTAAAATAAAGCACTCTTCTGCTTCCTTTTCTTGAAGTCCATGATATTTGCCCTGTTTCAACAGGGACTGCACGCCATCTCCTAGAGGTGACGGCTGTTTAACTAAGCAGCTGAGACTCTCCTCTTTGGGTGGCACTGAGGGGAAGCCCCAACCCTAGAATCCAGACACTAGGATTAAAGAGCTGTTGGGCCTAAGATGCTTCCAAGGCAGAGGCCCAGCCTTCTGTGTGTGGCAAGTAGCCGGAAGAGAATGCCTCCAGGTTGAAATGTGGATCCTGGCCTTTGAGCAGGGGAGGGTGTGGTGTACTTCAATTTTGACAGCACTAGGAAAATGAGGAGTGGAGGCTTGGTGCCTTGGGGTAAGGGGCCTCCTCTGGGCTTCACTCATTATATTGCCTCTGTCTGCTAATAAGACCATCCAGAGGTTTCCCTCTGAGGCCTCTCCAAGCCAGGGGCATACCCCTCCCCAAGGCCACCCTGCTGGTCCTTTACCCCTCGAGCTAATCTAGTTCATGTGTAAAATAACCCACTCCCTTTGCTGTGAAGTTAGCATGGGCCTCAGGCTCAATAATGGCCAAGTCTGTGGAAGCAGAAGTATCTAGGGATGGCTTTTCCATTCGTTGCATTAAAGACTAAAACAGGTCGAATTTATCTAGGAATAAAAAAGGCACGTGAGATGTTTTGGTTTATTTTATTTTTGTCTGTTCAGAACAAGCTACTAAATAAAATGGATGAAACTGTTCTTCACTCTAGCATCTTCTAGAAGTCTCAACTCACCCCACTATGGAAGCCCGGGTGACAGCGGGTGACCGCTGGCCAGGCCTCTTCCCTGTGTGGCTGATCCTCAGTCCGTCCACTCCTTTCCCTCATTAGTTTGCTGGTGCTTTCACAAGTACCTGTCAAACACGGTTTTTAGAGGATTACAAATCAAAGGTAAGACCCGGAAATCTGAAATTTGGCTCCACGTATCTAGGAAAGTCTATCAGCATTTCTTATACCCCGTGTCACACCCAACAAAGCTCTAGGAGCCTGTTCATTTCACTGGCACCTCTGGCCCCAACCCTCTAAGTAGATTTCTCTTCTGCTCTTACCTCTCACTAGCCTGGGTCAATACCCAGCCCTGAAATCTCTCTGATTAAGAAACAACAGATCCTGCATCATTGACTCCTGTTCCCCAAGAGGGAAGGGCCTAGGAAGGAGGCAAGAAAACTGGATCTCTTCTCAGCAGTACACACTTATTTACAGTACACACAGTATTTAGGAAACCCTGCTTTAGGGGTAAGTCATGAGCGATAGCTGAGCATGGACTATATAGTCCCTTAAAGTCTGAAGAAATTGGCGGGACTCCTGAGGAAACAAAATAACAGGTAGCAGACAACTAAAGACCAGATGTAACAGGATAACATTAACAACAGATTCCAGAGAGAGAGACCTCTGTGGAAAACATTTCACAATGACAGGCACTAGACAAAGGATGGCATCAATCTTGGAGTTCTGATTAAAACACATTTGACCTAAGATTCTAGAAAATCAGCAAATACTTAGTAAGTACCAAGGACCATTCAAGTGACATACTGAAGGCATGATACAAGCTGTCAAGGGGTGGACAGGCACACTGGGCTTGGCTGCTGCTGCTTGCCAGCTCCAGCCCTGTCTCACCTTGTCTCCACCTGCCTCTCTCCACCTGCCTCACTGCAGACCTGCTATAGGTGATAACAATCCCACATGCCCCGCCCCTCTTGCACAGCTCTGCCTCACTGCGATCTTTCATCACTTGTGAATTTATCTATCTAGGGGATCTCTCGCTCACTAGACTTTAAGTGCCCAGTGAATGGAATTCATGTCAGTTTGGTGCCCAGTACAGCTCAGCGCTTAGCACAATGCCCGGCCTGATGCTCAATAAATGGAGCAAGAGGAAGGAGGGAAGGAAAGAGGGAGGGAAGAAACTTGCTTCAGGTTCCCATAGCTGTACACAATGTAATGAGAGACTTAGATAGCATATTTCATAAGGTGTGACATGATAAACCATTAAAAACATAGCACAGACAATAAAGACCACCCCTTGAGGGAAGGAGAGGCCATTCCTACTAGCTAAGGTCTAGAAAGAGCTTTACAGAGAAGTTGAGGCTTGAGCTTAAAAAACAAAGGACAAATAGTATTTCACAAATGAAGAGAATTAGGAGTCTTTATAGGTGGTACAGTATGAGAGAAAGATATTGTAGAAAGCAAATATGTACTAGGCATATTTAAGGGATGGTTCAAAAACCTGGAAAAGCGGGCTTTGCAGGTGAATAGGCTGAAAAGGCCAGACAATGGAGGATTGAATGTCAGGCTTAAATAGTTCATTATTTTTTTCAATCGGCGGTTGGGAGCTATTGAAAATGTTTGAGGAAGCAAAGAATCTAATTAAAGAACTGCTTATATCAATCTGGCAGTAGAATTAAGTGAAAGGAGACACTAAGTCCATTAAGAGGCCAGCAAAAGGGCCCTCCCTGGTGGTGCCGCAGGTTAAAGTGCAGCACTATGAAGCTGTCCGTAGCCACTGCAGTGCACGCTTAGTTCCCGGCCAGGGAGGTGACTCACATGGCACAGCAGACCTCTCCTGACCTGCCCACTGCTCCCCTCAGCAGTGTGCTTCAGTGGGTCTGCCTGTCCTGCTCCCCACTTTGTTGCTGGTGAATCCTCTCACCCCCAACCCCCTGCACCTCTGGCCTGTGCATAAATACTTGTTTAAATACATAAATACTTATTTAAAAGACAGAGAGAGAGAGACCTGCAAAAGATTGGGGGCAGGGAGAAGTAATTGCCACAGGCCCTGGTCTATTATATTAAAGGTCTGGAGTGAGATGAGGGATGCTGGTCATAAACAGATGCTGGTGGCACAATGGGTTAAGACACAGCACTGCAAGCTAGCCACAGCTGCTTCAGTATGAGTTCGATCCCCAGCCCCAGACGTGATCCACATGGTGCAGCAGACTTCTCCTTTCTCACCTGCTGCTCCCCTCAGCAATGTACTTTGTTGACCTGCCTGTTCTGCTCCCCAATCTGTCTCTGGTGAATCCTCTCACTGCTCCTGCACCTCTGGCCTGTACCCCAGCTCTGTATGCATAAATAAATAAATCTTTTTTTAAAAAAGAGAAAGAAATTATAAAGCAAGAAATACAGGCAAGATCTAAAGAATGTGACTGATAGAGTCAGGGTGCCAAACAGGAAACAAGTTACATTCATGGCTAAATGTACATCCTTCAGTAAACCAGGGAGGATGTACAAAGCTGTGGGCAGGGTTAAGAAACCAACAAGGGAAGGGGAAGCAACAATCTTCAACCTGAGGGGACAGTTACTGGAACTTGGTGAGTGAGCTATTGCTGCCATGAGAGCCAGGGTCTCAGGGAGAGGAACTCAGCGGTCCACAACTCTACCAGCACTTTCCACTGGCCAATTCTAAGGGGAAGCCCAGGAGCAAGGGAGGCTGTGTGCCGCTGCCCTAGGAGCTAACCTCCTAGAGCACAGAAAGGTTAAAAAAGATGGAGTGCTGATCTGGAAAGGAAAAGAGAGTTTCCTGGCTAGCCATGGCAAGCTACGCATGTGTGTTCATCTCCAGGGAGACGATGGATGGAAAGCAAGAGTCAGATAGTGAAAGAGGGAATTAGGAAGGGTTGTAGATAGTTCAAGAGGTAATGAACAGCTGAGAATTTGAGAAGATGAAGCTCTTTCAGGGAAAGGTAAGGAGATAGAGTCCCTAAGCTAATGCAAAACACACCATTTGGGATCTTTAGACCCTGTGATATCTGTGTCTTGCCTAGAAACAGTCATGAAAGTTGGGCCCTTGTATTTAATTATTTTACGGACTCCAATTCCTTCTTCATTCCCATAACTACTACCTCTTGACTTCTTGTCTGAATCTTTCTGATAGTCTCCTTGTGACTCTGTCTCTGATGTATTCTTTTCCTGTAGTAGAAAAGTGAAGCACAGCTCTGAAGCTAGAGTGTGTGGAGGTAGATGTTTAGCCCTTTCGCTCCTGTGGCAGTAATAGCTCACTCACCAAGTTCCAGTAACTGTCTCCTCACATTTAAGTTTGTTGCTACCCCTTCCCTTGTTGGTTGATTAACTCTGCCCACGGCTTTATACATCCTCCTTTTATTAAAACAGGCCCAGTTAGCCGTGAATGTACCTTCTGTTTCCTGCTTAGGGACCCTGACTCTAAGAGTCCCAACATCTCACTACTTGGACTTCAGTGATGCAAACAGTTTCTTTTTATTTCTTTATCTGCCCAAATCTGGTGCCACCCACCCTTCTACCTTTCTGCTATTTCAGCTCTGCAGGGATAAATTGACTGAGGTTTTTTTCTCCCACATTATCTAAACCAGCCCAGCCAGAGAAATCCTTAGTTAATTCTCAAACATCTGCCTCCACATCCTCTACCTCCTGAGCTGTGCTTCACTTTTCTACTATAGGAAAAGAACACATCAGAGACAGAGTCACAAGGAGACTATCAGAAAGATTCAGACAAGAAGTCAATGAGAAGAAGCAGAGAGGGAAATTAGGATTCACCTCAACATTTTATTTGCATGAGCCACACAGTGATTAACTATACTCTGGGCCAGATAGACCTGCTGTTGAGTTTGAATCCTGCCACTAGTTGACAATGTGACTTGGAAAATTACTGATTTCCATAAACCTCAATTTGTCTGTAAAAATAGGAATAACTACGTTACATGGTAAACATTTAGCACAATGCCTGGCACATTGCAAATAATTCCTTAGCAGTGCCAGCTATTAGAGATCACCATCACCATTACTATTATTTGAATGGTGATGTGCTGCCATTGTATATGGTTACTGTACTGTCCAAAAGTAGTTAAAGTTATCAATATAAGGCATATAAGACCATCAAGGAAGATAAAAGGGTAAAGAGGTACAGCATGTGAATATGGAATATGAAATGATAGAAATAAATTATGTGAGGGAACAGTAGAGAATAGTCCTGGAAAAAGCATATTCAGATTGAATGGAATCCTCTATCTCCTTGTACTAGCACTTTCTTCAGGACTAGGATCGCGGCAGGAAGTGGTTTCATTCACAGACAACCACCCTCTTTACGCAGAACTGCACCTTTAGCAGCTCGCGTGAACAGAACTATTAGGCACATGCCGAAGTCCCGCCCAGGAGCGAGACAGCCAATCCAGAGAAAGGATTACTTTGCTTGCGTTCCGGCGCAGGGCACCGTCGCGCCGGAAGTGACGGTGGCGGTATTTGATGATGGCGGTTCGTGACGCGCTGGACGCCTAAGGCGGGGAGTCGGGGCCGAATCTAGCGCTTGGAGGCCGTCGGCAGCCTGCTGAGAGCTGTGGGCGCGCCATGGTCCTGGGCGGGCAGTGGGTCGAGTGTTGCCTACAGCTGCGAGTGTCCCCCACTGGTGTATTCGTCGTGGCCTTTGCGGCGCGGGTGGCCCTGGTCTTCTATGGCGTCCTGCAGGACCGCGCGCTGCGCGTGCGCTACACCGACATCGACTACCAGGTCTTCTCCGATGCCGCACGCTTTATGGCGGATGGCCGCTCCCCGTACCTGCGCGCCACCTATCGCTACACGCCACTGCTTGGCTGGCTGCTTGTGCCGGGCGTGCATCTGGGCGCGCTCTTTGGCAAGTTTCTCTTCATCAGCGGGGACATGGTGGCCGCCTTCTTGTTGTACCGCTTGTTGCGCCTCCGCGGCTTAGATCGCCGCGGTGCCTGCGGCTACTGCGTCTTCTGGCTGCTCAATCCGCTGCCCATGGCTGTGTCCAGCCGCGGCAACGCCGACTCTTTGGTGGCCTGCCTGGTGCTGGCGGCCCTTTACTTGATCGAGAAGAAACTGGTCGCCTGCGCCGCGGTAGCCTACGGGTTTGCGGTGCACATGAAGTTGTACCCGGTCACCTACATCCTGCCCATCACCCTTCACCTGCTGCCGGAGCGTGGCGACTGCCCGCGGCCGACCCAGTATTCGTTCCAGGCCAGCCTGTACGAGTTCCTGAAGCGATTGGGCAGTCGGCCCGTGCTTCTCTTTGTGGTGGTGACTGGACTCACATTTTTTGCCCTGAGCTTTGGTTTTTACTGTAAGTACGGCTGGGAATTTTTGGAGCACACCTACTTGTATCACCTCACCAGACTGGACATCCGGCACAACTTCTCCCCATACTTCTATATGCTGTACTTGACTGCGGAGAGCAAGTGGAGTTTTTCCTTGGGCATTGCTGCCTTCCTCCCACAGTTCATCTTGCTGTCAGCAGTGTCTTTCGCCTATTACAGGGACCTTGTCTTTTGTTGTTTTCTTCATACGTCTATTTTTGTAACTTTTAACAAAGTCTGCACCTCACAGTACTTTCTGTGGTACCTCTGCCTTCTGCCCCTTGTGATGCCGCTCGTGCGAATGCCATGGAAGCGAGCTGTAGTTCTCCTACTGCTGTGGTTTACAGGGCAGGCCCTGTGGCTGGCTCCAGCATATGGGCTGGAGTTTCAAGGAATGAACACTTTTCTCTTCATCTGGCTAGCTGGTTTGTTCTTCCTTCTTATCAACTGTTCCATCCTAACTCAAATTATTTCCCATTACAAGGAGGAACCCTTGACAGAGAGGATCAAATATGACTAAGATGTCCTCCAATAATTCTGCTGCTTCTTTTATGCTCTGATGTATGGACCAGAAGGGAGCTTTGGAGATTTTTAAAAACGTCCCAAGCACTCGATAGAGCTGATCTGTTGGGAGCATAAAACCTGTTCCAAAAGTAATTAAAACGAATGTTTGCCTCATATATAAAGGAGGTCCACCCTCTTGGAAATCTTAGGACTGGTTTACCTGGGACATGATGAGATCTAAAGGTTATCTATCTGAAAATGGGCAGGCTGATGAAAGCTGCAGCTGCCAAAGAGGTCTGTGTAGAAAAATAGAGGAATATAGTCAGAGAGGTAAGATCTCAGCCAATATTTGTTCTCCTTAACATTCTAATGCTGTTTGAATCAGTCTTTATCTTTTAACCCCAACTCTTTTCAAAGCTTTCCTAATTGCTGTGAAAATTCAGTGTTTCTAAAGTACAACTTTTCGATATAAAGTATTAATACTACTGTGTTTAAGTTGGGAAAGTTAATTCTGTGTAAGTGGGGTTTATGAGATAAAGAATCCAGAAAGTTTAAATAGTAATCATGTTTCCTGTACTTGTTTTATAACCCAGTTTTTCAGGACTTAATCCCCTGGTATCAGACTACCACTTGGTTTTATGCAAAAAGATAAATTTAAATTCAACCAACTTTAAACTTGCATCTTGCTTTTGATGTTTGAGGTCCTCAGACTAATAGGACCTTTAGTAGTGTTCTCTACCTGTTTTTAACTTTTTGATTGCTAGAGTAGTATTTTTCATCTAGAGTTAAGGTTGTTTTTGTTGTGAAAGTGAGTATTAGTACATTTTAGGTGATTAAAAAGTTAAATTATTAGTAATACATTTCCCTGCTTAACAATAATCCACTTAGGAAAATAATCCATTTTGGAAAATGGAGGCTTGTACAGGAACTACTAGAAGCATAGGAAGCCTTCAACACCAGGAAATGGCCTTGGAAATGAGGCTTTGGTTATCAGGTCCATTCCCTTCCTGTTACAATATTTCTGGGAGAAAATGCTTTCTGAGTTTCAAACAAGCAACCTAAAAAAAACTTAATATGCCCATCTAGGTTGAGGACCCCTAACACAGTAATAGTATGAGTTTGATTTTATGACTGAGGCTTTAAAAGATGAGTACTTTAACCTTCAAGAAAAGTTCCGGAGGATTGGTGTATCTCATGTCAGTTCATGTCAGGGGCTGAAAGTCTGCACACTGGTCATTATTAACAGAAGTTCCTGCAGTACTTCTTTGATACCTTTTGGGACCTGCTACTAGAAGGGGAAGAATGGGTGGTTTTGCATGAGTTACTGTTGAAGTGAAAATGAGAGCTGTTGACAGTCCTTTCTTAGAACATCTCTTAGCACCCTGTAGGTCTTACCATCAGGGCTGTTGGTATATGACTTCACTTGTGACCTTCCAGCCATTGCATTTTTTAAAAAAAGATTTATTTATTTATGCATACAGAACTGAGGCATAGGCCAAAGGGCGGGGGCGGTGGGTGGTGAGAGGATTCACCAGAGCTGAGAGCAGAATAGGCAAATGTACTGAAATACACTGCTGAGGGGAGCAGCCGGCTGACCAGGAGAGGTCTGCTGCACTATGTGGGTCACCTCCCTGGCCAGGGATCAAACTCATGCTGTGGGGAGTGGGTTGGGGGTAGGTGGCATTTCATTCTTTTTTTAAAGATTTATTTATTTGTTCATACAGAGCTGGGGTACAGGCCAGAGGTCCAGGGACAGTGAGAGGCTTCACCAGAGACAGGGTGGGGAGCAGAACTGGCAGATCTACGAAGTACACTGCTGAGGGGAGCAGCGGGCGGGTCCGGAGAGGTCTGCCGAGCCTTGTGGATCTCCTCCTCTGGGACAGGCAGGGGTCAAACTTATGCGGAAGTGGCTTTAGCTTCTTAGTGCTGTGCTTTAACGCACTGAGCCACCAGGAGGGCCCCCCCCCAACTTAACTTTCTTTTTCATTCTTTTGCATTAATAATTTAAAGCTTTTTTTTTTTTGGTAGAGCTGCTGTGGGAGGGGGTGGGAAACAAATAGAATTCTAACATTCCAATATAATTGTCTTTTTGTATTGTTAACTTTAAAATATATTGTTGCTTCTCCATCTTGTCTTCAAAATATGGTACTTAGATGTCCCTAGATAAATTCCCTAGATTAGGTCCACTGACAGGCTAATAATGCCTGCCACCCCCCAGACAAGACTTTTAAGACCATAGACTTAGTTACTGACTTTTCTTCTCTGTTTGAATGACTCTGTAGATCATATTATTTAAAAAGTTTTATAGAACTTGTCTTTTACATAGTTGACTTAAGCTAAATATATTGTTACTTCTCCATCAAAATGGTTTCCTGCACTCATCAGCCCCATCACCACATTTGTACACATTTGTACAGTAGAACAAGGAAAAGGGAAAAAATGGCAAGTTTCACATGAGACATTTCCTAAATGCAATCTCGGTTTTCTTCCGGTGCTTTATTATGGACAGCTTTAAACATTACCCATATGCCCAGTAAGTTGTATAGTTAACGTTTTACCATATGGCTTTCTTTTTATAATTTTTACTTATATAACTTATTATGAATGGTGAAGGTGTAAATATTCAACCTCACTGCTAAATACATAAGGACGAGTCTCCTAAAAAGCCCTTTCTTACAAGACAGATATATTAGGCAAAATCATATGGCATTGTCCATTTTACAAATTTCTCTAATTTGTGTTTAATCTTACTGAACAGACATTCTTGAATCTCAAAGACTCCTTGAAAGAAATGGCATGATCATCTTTCCCTGCTCTTTAAAACAAAAAGTTAAAGGGATTTTGCCTTCCATCAAAGTTGAACAAATAATTATTTTGTGAAAGTCTGGATGTCTTCTAAGAAAGCATAGACATTTTCCTGATAAATGATTATGTGTTTGGAATCTTAACATCAACGCTTGCCCCTGAGAGAACTGATTAACTGATTTTACATCTTGGTGATGTTTAAATTCTGTTTTTCATGATTAACTGATTTAGGGTACCTATTCTACCTTACATAGTTCACTTAATTTTCACAGCAACACTTTAAAGCTGATATTCATAATCCCCATTTTATAAAAGAAAGAAGACACTCAAAGATTAAATGACCTATTAACGAGTGACAGGACTAGAATTTGAAGTGAGTGTTGCCAAACTTAATGACAGTACTTGCATTGGATTAGTTTGGCCTGTATCAGGATCCAGCAGATTATTGCTGTAAAAGAAAGAACTCAGTACAACCATCAGCAAATGATTTGCCAGTCAGGTTGCCCTTAATCTTCTATTTGCTTGAGGGACAGTTCTCTTGCAGTGATGCAGAAATTGTCATTCTGAACTTTTATGATTCCAGAGCTTTAATAATATCTTCCCACATCCAAATCCTTTTACCAAACTGTGTAATTTCTTTATTACTGCTGGCTTCATAATGCCTGTCCTATCCATATCCTAGGCTAAGTTGAGTTACTGAACTGTATGTTAGCCCAGCTAGTATAAATTAAGCCGTGGGAATTAGGGAACTGTCCTAATTTACAAAAGGTAAAGGATGCCCTACAGTGTACAATCTGCACGGTGCACTCCCGTAGTTAGAATAATGTCCCAAACACTATGACGTAAGAGTGAGCCTACAGCTTAAGCTCAAATCCCAGTGCCTGACCTTGGGTGATAGCTTTTACCAGATAAATTAATTTTCTGTCTGTGAAATGGGGTGGTAATATAATCCTCACTGAATTGTTGGCAAGGTTCAAATGACATAGTGTGTTCAGTGCTTGTGCAGACACTGGTGACCCACCCTCCAGCTGTTACCTGCTCACAAGCCTTTAAGAAGCTCCTTTGGGGTTCTAGACTTTCCCCTCTTTAATAATGAGTATAGGAAAAGGACCTGAATTTATACCAAGTCATTGTTTTTAAATATTATATATTATGAATTTTATTCCTAATGATCTCAGTCAGGTTCTTTGAAAAGATGGTATATATATGTTAGAATGTATATAGAAATTCTTGGTGTCTTTCTGGCTGGATGATTTTATGTTTGTGTAGTCCTGGCATATGTTAGCTAACGCTTACATGGAAGTGGTTTATACCCCCCAGCTACATAGCCCTTCATCCTTTTGAGGGTCATTCGAGGGTTGTGCTCTTCATGGACACGCTCGTCCTGCCTGGGCCAAAGCATCCTAATAGCGCATGTGTTTACTGATCCAGGAGAGCGTTTAGTCAAAATGGATGTTCACAGTCATTATCCTGAACAAAAAAGACTGATTGGGAATATTTCTAGCTGCTTGGATACTTTGCTAATGGTTATGTCTGCTCTGTAAAACAAAGTGACATTTATAGCAACTACTTAAAAATAAGTTGGAGCATGACTGAAGCTGTTCATTCCACAAAGAAAAATTTAGCCTTGTCTTCCATTTGTGGTGGGGAGGGGCGGGGGTGTAATTATTCATATAAGCCCTGTGCCAAATCTTAACAGCAGATAAGTAAGGCAAAATCCACACCTGAAGAATAAACAGTCAAGATAGCTCATTAAAAAGTGATATGTGGGCCCTCCCTGGTGGTGCAGCGGGTTAAAGCACAGCACTGAGAAGCTAAAGCCACTTGCCGTATGAGTTCGATTCCCGCCTGCCCCCGGAGGTGACCACATGGCGACCACATGGCGCGGCAGACCTCTCCTGACCCGCCCGCTGCTCCCCTTAGCAGTGTGCTTCATCGATCTGCCTGTTCTGCTCCCCACTCTGTCTCTGGTGAAGCCTCTCGCCGCTCCTGAGCCTCTGGCCTGTACCCCAGCTCTGTATGCACAAATAAATAAATCTTTAAAAAAAAAAAAAAAGTGATGTGTGAGACCCCAATTCTGGGGAGTATAGGGCGGGGAAGTAGAAGCTGTTACCATTCCTGCTTTATGGATAACGAACAGTGAGGCTCAAACAAGTGACTCTCCAAATCCAAACAGCTCGTCAGCTTGTCAGTGACAAGAACAAGTCCTCTGAGCAGAAGTGTGTATTTTACAAGCCCTTAATTCAATGTTTTAACAAAACTTAATTTTTCATCAAAGTCCTTTACTGAGGAAACAGCCTGAGAGACTTCTTTGTGCCAGGCTTTGGGGGTGCAGCTGTGACAGTCTTCATGGAGCTGACCTTTCGTGGGAGGCAGTGATGGTTGTCACACAGCAGGCAGCCAGAGCAGCCGAATGAGGTGAGGTGCGGAGAGGGTGTGTTGCTTTAGAGCAAGTGCTAACAAGGCCTCTTGAGGTGGTATTTGAGCAGAGGCCTGAAGGAAATAAAGACACAGTGCATTTGCAACTCGGAGAGACCTACCTGGCTGAGGAAGGGAATGAGCTTGGTGTGTTTGGAGACCAAGAAGGGGGCTTTGAAACTTCTTGCTTAAAATCACTCATTCATTTTAATTTTGGCTCATGAATTTAGCTCAAAAGATCCTTTATCCTCTGACTTTGACCTTCGTCTTCCGCTTCGTCTTCCACGTCCCGCACCCTCCAGTCATACCAAATGACACCATTTCCGTGCACCTTTGTATCTGCTGTTTCTTTGGCTAAAACATTCTTTGTTTTTCTTGCTATCTTGTCTTGATCACTCGCTCCTATTTGGTTTAAGGATGTCTTGTGTGGAATGGTCTCTGACTGGGCACCTGCTGCAGAGCACAAATCACGTTGTACTGTGATTTCCTACTTAACGTGTCTGCGAGCTCCCCGGAGTCCGTGATTATTTCCCATTCATTGATAATATTTTCCTGCAGAGACAGACGGAGGGACAGGCATGTTGGAGCTGCTCAGTGTGCCACATGTGCTTCTGGGGGTTATGAATTGAGTTGTGCATGGGTCTGCCACCTGGGAGTCAGGGACAGTGACCCCTTTGCAGTGTTAATGTGGCAGTTGTGAGAAAGGGGCAGTTTCTGGGTGCCTCTCATTTCTAAATGCCATCAGTATCCACCCTTTTTGTTTTCTAAACCAAAATCTTAAATCACCTCCTGCGCTTGCTACCCGCCTCCTCAGGCAACCCTAGATCTTGTCAGTTCTACCTTTTCCTATCCCTGATCCTTCTGGTTTCTTGCCATTGTCACTGCACTCTGCAGTCCCACCTGGAATGGGTAGCTCCTTATTCCCACTCTGCCCTTCATCCTTCCTCTCCTTTATCGCAGCCATCTTCCCAAAGCAGCTCTCATCCTTGTCCCTGTCCTGATAGACGCATCCTTGTGGGCTCCGTGACTTCAAGGAAAAGCTCAAATTTGCTAGCATCCTCCACACTGCCCCAGTTTCTCCTCCTTGGCCGCACTCCAGCCCTGGAGCACAGTCCCCTGGCACCACCACCCTGTGGAGTCTTTGCCTCTGCAGCAACCTGCTGAGTGCTTCCCCTGTTCCGGGGAAGCTGCCGTTTGCAGACCCAGCTCACAGGTCCTCCCTAAGGGAGCATGCAAGGAGGACA